AATACTGACAATCAAACGCACCCTGAGATGTTTACAAAGTCAAAAGTAATAGTTGCCTATGTTCCCATTTAATCAAACATCTTAGTATAATGTTCAACAATTAATTTATTCTAATCATTGTATTGCCTTCTCAATTTCTTCATAATCCGACCAAATCATTATACTTGAAGTGTTAAGTACCGACAAACCCCAATAATTAGAAGAGATTAAGGAAAAAGGCATGTGACATGTTTCATTAATAAATTACTATAATTTTTGTCTTGTTTGTTTCACTTGTCAATATTCATGTGTATATTATTGTGAACTATGCCTCTTAATAATTGCTCGTATTAGTTTCTTTCGAAATAACATTCTCGTGATCACACCAAAACACAGATAGTAATATTTTAGGGAAAAAAAACATAATTTAAGTAAAAACTAATTTTTAATATTTTTTTTTTGTCTCGTGGTTGTTACTTAACTTTCACTTTAAGTTTTTATCTATTTTAATTTGTTCTAATTCCATCGCTGGAGTTACGTTCACTTTTCGAAACGTTCCCCATAAATAATGTATTACTCGTATCATAAAATTGCATTGAAATTACTAAGTTTGCACGTCAAAATGTTCGGGAATGAAAATGAGGTAATGTCTACAATTCTAAATTTAATCAGATACGCATTGAATATGAGCTTTTTGCCAAAACTCGAATAAAGAAAATATTTTGATTAATCAGTCCTGATCATTGATGTTTTATAGTTGCCGACACATTATGAATTTCTTAGCCTGTCACGCCTTAAGAAAAATTAAAAAATTTACATCATCAACTATACGAAGTATGAACAAGACCTAAAAACCATTTGGCCTGAGATGGATAATCATAAATTGTTTTCTCGTTATTTATGCGGGCCGTTTGGATGTCATCAGGGGCGGAGTCAGGGATGAAAAAAAAAATAAAAAATAGTACTGAACCGATGCATTAAAAAAAATATCATTTTTTTTAAATGGGCTTGGGAGCTCGGTGCTACCCCCTCGCTATGCCCCTGGGTGTCTCAATATACAAGGGAACAATACATAAATAAGGTATTTAAGTATCACTATTTCAAAATTAAGGTTTGAGGTTTTAAATTTCAAAAAGCAGGTTTTCATTAAAATTTATTTATAA